TAAATGTTTTTTACTGGAGGCAAAGTGGTACACTAGTGGACACACGCCAACCTTCCAAGAATACTTAGAGAATGGATGGGTTTCCATTGCAGCACCAATTGTACTAGCGATTGCGTATATTTGTGTGACAAATCCACTAAGGGAAGAGGCAATCATGTTATTAGCCATGGAAGGGTATCCGAGTATAATCCGCGAAGCATCAATTATTGGTCGACTCACAAATGATCTCTCTACATTGCCTGTAAGCATATTATATTTATTTATTTTTTTGAACAGGGCATATCACATTTACATGTAGCTTGTTAGGAAATGGCTAGCTAGTTTGGACTTGCCAGCCTCTTTGAGGGTTCTAGTGCTAGGTGGCTCTCTTTGAGGGTCTTAAATGTGAAGGTTAGGGCTTGCCAACCTAGTACTCTATTTAGAGTGCCTAACACCAGATCCATATTTATTATTAACGTTAAGTGAGACTGGAGTGACACGCTCTTTATAAAGGGGTAGGCCTGTAGAGCCTTCAACGAACATGCCTCGCTAACAACATTTGCAGAACTTTGACAACGCCCAATGAGAGTAATGCTAAACCGACTGTCCCTGTCGGCCTCTTTTTTAATAGGGTAAAATAATCAAGTTACGTGAGAGGACAAAAACTTTAGCCCATCTCCCTCTTAGGAAATTCAATATTTTCGCAGTTGACTAAAAATTTAATTAACAATTTCGTTAAAAACTAAATAATTCAAGGTACCTACTAGCTTAGTCTTTGTGTGTTGACCATCCTTCTTAGGATTCAAGCTGAACCATGAAGATTGCTTGGTTTCTAATATTGCTTTTCATAATGGGTATACCTTTACATTATCGACCTAATTTTTTCTTCTCGTTGTTTCAGTTTGAATTAGAAAAGGGCAATGTTCCCACATCCATCCAGTGCTACATGAATGAATTTGGTGCTTCTGAGGATGAAGCACGTCAACATATAAAGTTGATAATTGATGAGTCATGGAAGCAAAACAAAAGATTGTGCCTCTTTATTGCTTCTTAACTCCATTTCGTATTTAACATTTTAATTTCGCTCATATGGATGAGATTAGTAAAGAGTGGAGCCAATTTGTAAAGGAATTTATATAAGATAATAATTAGTGTGAGTATTTTGTAAATTACTCAAATCGATGTATTGTATTGTGAGGTCAAATAATACCAAAGCAATACATGTAACGGCGGTTTCAAGGATTCTTTCGTCTAATATTTATCGGGGCCACTTAAAAGGCATGTTTGATCACACGTTTAGCAACAGTTTTATAGCAGTTAACGATATTTAACGACTATGTATACGATGACGGTTTTACCGTCGTATGTTTTAAGGATGGTTATTAATTATCGTAGCAAAATTAGAAGGATCAGTTAAGCCCAGTGGGTTGGGTAGAGGGCGCAAGAGGATTTCGTAGAAAAGTAAACTTCTATGTTTTTTCAATCAAGTATAATTTTATATATATTTTTTATCTATAAATAACGATAACAATTTTATGCCGTGAACTTTTACATGTGTAGATTCTTATACATGGTACATGATACTTGGTACTTGACACTTCATATCAGGCGGAAATGGTGGCCATAAACTTTCTATACGCCTTGTCAAGAAAATCGCTCGCACATATTTCACCAACACATGCTTAGAAGTCTCGTCGGTCTATTCTGTGAGCTAGAAAAAGGCATGACGATTTAACACATCGTGTAAGACAAATGAAGAATATGGCGTCTGCTTTAGCTTCTTGAAATGGAACACGAGGCATTTTAAGGGCCCGTTTAGTTCGTTAATTTGAGTTTTTAATTCGAATTGAGATGTGATTTTATGTGAGAGTTTTATTACTGCAGCAAAAAAATTAGATGTGATTGTTTCTAAGAGCTTTTTACTGTAGTAAAACTCGAATCGGTGAAATAAACGTGGCCTAAATCTATCAAAAGAAGTGGCCATGCGGGGAAGTGAAATATGGAGGTGAGAGGATGAATGCGACGAGGTTCTTAATATCATTACCACTAGGATCATCATAATCATAATATTCTCAACTTTTCTAACACCCATTTTAGGTACCACAAATAATATATAATTTAGTGGCTAGCTCTCCCTTTGAATTTATAGTACTTTTCTAGGAGGATAGACAAACATTGGACATAAACATAATATGGATACTCAAAATGGACAAAAGACCTTTTGTCATATGATATAGGTGCATGTATTGTTATAATATTGGCCTTCTATAGTTTGAATCCTCCTATCCTTAAAGGAGAAAAAAATAATAATAATAATAACGAAAAGGAGATTTGAGCTAGAGAAGTTTGTTTTTGCAGGTTAGATCAATAATTATTAAGTTTAGTAGAACACTATATTAGTTTTAAGTTTTAAAAAACTGAACTCTGAAGTTTTGTAAATTCCTGGCGTATTTTGCCTTTCGAACTAGGGTCATATATTTCTAATTGGGCCTCATTTTATAGCATATTTTAATTGGTATTCTTTGTTTTCACAAGCAAAATCCGGTCTTCTGGTTTCTTCAATATGAGTTTTTTTTTTTCCTTGTCTCATCTATTAAAAGTAGTTTTCTGACTTTTGGGTATTTTGAAACTACATTAAAAGATTCCTCTAACCTATGAGCATTAGGGCCTGTTTAGTTCGTTAATTCGAGTTTTTAATTTGAATTAAAATGTGACTTTATGTGAGTCGTTCTAGCTAGAAGACAAATGAGAGAGTACTAGACATTGTTGTGGGGAGATTGTAATATTTGGAAGAGAAAATTCTATAGCCAAAGTTCAATATTAAAAAATTAAAAGGAAGATAAGTGTTTTAAATGAATTTGTGTGCAATGGGAAAATATTTATGGGTAACAAGTGTATGCACTATGTTTATTTGACTGTATTAGAGCACTATGTTGTATAATAATATATTAATATAATGTTTGATATGACTATTGTATTGTATAAACTAATACGATGATAAATTGATACGGTTTATGTCGTAATATTATTAAATACAACTAATTTTTAGCGTATTATATTGTATTATTATGTAATGGATTCATGATTCAAGTTGGGCTTGGCTGCGACTGGGAGTTGGGGTTGGAACCTATAATTGTTTAAAAATTTTAAGGGGGCACAATGCAAATTTATATTCTTTAAAAATAATATTTTGACCCCTCAATTTTATTACAATTACATTTGATATGAAAATTATTCAAAAATTATATTTTGACTCCAAATTTTTTTAAAAAATTAAAATTTTGACCCCAAGTTTTTTGATAAATTTTTTGACCCTGAATTTTTTTTTTCAAAAATTGAATTTTGAGCCCAAAATTTTTAAAATATTATATTTTGACAATTTATACAATACGTCATGACATCAAACCAAACAATATATTGTATTATGACAATACAAGACAATACTTTATATAATACAATAAAATATGAGCTACCAAACATGGCTTTAGTGTATACCTATGATTGGGTGTATGTTTAGAGGCACACATTGTATTATGCATCGTCACATCCTCGTAACAATCGTAGGGCCCGTTCAGTTTTAAGACTTGAATCTATGGTTCTGATTATGCTCTCTCACAAAAAATTTTAATAAAAAAAGTTCCCCAAATAGATTCTCTTACAAAATTTGAATTCAAATTCAAAATCAATTACTTAAACGGGTGAACCAAACAGGTCATAGACTTAAATCTGAGCCATCAATGAAGAACAAGTGCAGCAACGATTCTTTAAAAGAAAAAGAGACAAACACCTCTTAGAGTGCATGGGTCTAAATTTTTCCCTTTACACTATCCGAGTGGGGACAAATAACACTTTCAGAAAAGTAATTACTTACACCTTAAATTCACAATTTTGTTATCCACCCAAACATTGTTCATGTTCTATTAAAGAAAAATTTTGAAGACTAAAACTTCAATACAATAGTTTTTTTACCTTTATTTATGCATTTCTATCTTTGATTTTTCCCAAAATGAACTTAGCTTGTATAGTAGAGTTTAATTCAATTTTTAAAGTTGAGTCTAAAAAATTGTGCATTTATTGTAGTTGATTTTGACTTTTTGAAATTTTGTTTGAAATATGAATACATAAAACTCAAAACTTAGGATTTAATTGCATTTTAAAATAATATTATGCAAAATATCTGGCCTGCATCTTGCAAAATAAGATATCACGTAATTTTTAAAAACTACATAAATAATTCGACTATATACGAAAGGCTCTATATTTCTCATGGCTCAGTCGAATATTAATTGGCAACTGTTGATTGATTAGTTCGCTTCAATGACTTTGGTATGGAATATTAATTGGCATCCATAAACATTTGCAGAAATTTCTAGTGCATATATATATATATATATATATAATTTGGTAGATGACTTTGGTAGATGACTGTGGTAGACAGTAATCTGCAACAGTGGTAGACAATGATCTATCATCTATCATAGTAATCTATTGACGATTAGTATCGGCAACGACTAATAATTTCTGCTGAAATGGCAACATAATCCCTAGATTACTTTTTGTAACCTAATAGATTACTCCGTTGACCGACGCTGACCATTGATAATGACTACATAATTTTGTAGCTTATTGGTGGTAATCAAGTATCTTTGACATCTGGTGCCGATGATTCACTGCGATAATTTTGGTAAAATATTATTTTATGACCTTTGACAATTCCTCTAAAGTGGCAAAATTCCTAACATGGCATTCATAAGATTCCATGCACAAGGCCTTTGTAAGAAAGGTGGGTTCCTGCTTTCCATCATGGGTTCATAATCAAAGCTTAATATTGAGCCTTCAAGTTCAAAATGTTTGTATGTTTATATCCTTTTGTTTGTTAATTTTCTTGAGATATATTACAACAAAACGAAATTGTGAAATATATGCAAACCAGGCCATTTGTTATCAATAATTCAAAATGGTCTTAATTAAAAAAACTGCAAATTTCATGTTTTTGAATGGCATAAATCAAATTTTTTCCTTTTTCTTTCCTATTAATCATGATTGGTCAGATCGCTTAAGCGAATTAAACACAAATTATCAGCATTAATTACCAGCATAGTTAAACAACAAATTGTTCAACAACTGCATATTAATTCAAGCAAAATTCACATTAAAAGTCCATATTTATTCGAATACTACTAAATAAAGTATGTCATCTTTCCATCCTTATTATTTTCGTCTTCATAGGACTGATTCTTGAAACAACGAACAGAAGAGATGATCATACACCCACTTGTCTTTCCTAGCCTTTTTTGACTTCATTAACATGCTGTTTCACTTCAGAATCTGCATGAAAATAGATCACGTGCCACAAATCAAGCTTCATGACTAGTTCAAGAATCCGGGAACTTCATGTTAAATACAAACTTAAAATGTAATACTATTGAAGCAAATGCTGAACATTGCATGTGATCCAGCCAAACTATAATATAAAGAAAATATTGGTGGAAAACATTCTTAGAGCTTGATATGTAGATGACAAAATATAATTTTTTTTTTAGAGAATTGACTAATCTTTAGTATATAGTACTAGACTAGATATATTTAAAAAAAAAATCGAAACATATTATATCACTCAAATAATTTTGGGAAACAAATTGATAAGTGTTCTCTTCCATGAGCGACTAATATTATAGAACGTGATAAGCTTATAAGAAATTAGGGACTAACAATTACATCAAAAACCTAACAATCAGAAAATGCAGAAAAGAAAGAGAGAAAAGAAAATAAGGAAGTACAAAGATGATCACATTGAGAAATATATTATTGAGTTTTGGTTAGCTGTCTTTAGGGACATCATTTAAGGAAAGTTGTTCTAAAACCACTAATGTCTTTATCAACTTGTTCTAAAACCACTAATGTCTTTATCAACTTGTTTATTTCAAAGCAGAGCAGAAAGTGGGGCGGGACCAACAAATAGACTTTGCCGACATTGTAAAACAAAAAAAAGTTGGAATCCTAAGACAAGGCAGTAAATGTGTGAGAATTACTTTACCTGGACCGCATCGGATCCTGCACTTACCTTCACACCGTTGCATAAGCCTTGCTGCATAATATTCAACAAAAATAAATATCGATTTGCGCTTTTAATCTTGCTCTTCAGACCCGTGTTCCTTAAATTCTCAATAATAGTAACACAACCGAAAAGACAGAATTTAGCTACAAGACTGAAACTAACTAATAATAGTAACACAACCGAAAATTATCTTCACTTAATTTCCTCATCAAAATTAAACTCACGAAAGCTTTTTCCTCGACATTGGTATTTTTATGGTCTAGTTTGGTTCATGAGTCCAATTAAACATGAATTTTAATTCTGTTACAGTATTTTTTCTTTAATTTAAAAATTTCCCGCCTATTAATTCTCCCACAAAATTTAAATGCGGAATTAAAACTATTGATTTGAGGCCATGAACCGAACAGATCCTATGTTTTCTGAAGAGGGTTTTAGAACTTACTGTTGCGTTGAACGCAGCCAGTGTAGCAAGAGTCAATGCAGTCTTCCGGACCGGCGGTGGCAATTTCCGAATAGGAAAGCGCCAAGAGAAGAACGAAAACGGCAATCCCTGTTTTCTTCATCATCACCATATCCTTAGATGTCTTTGCTTCTTCTTTTCTTTTTGGTTGTTGAAGTGGTGATTGCTGAATTATTGTTTTTGCTTTTATAGACGATTTGCAAGTTAATTGCACATTTTTTTGCATGAGTTCTACCAAAATGCCATTTAGCGTTTGTGTCTATCTTATACGTACGTACATGTGCCTACTTTATTTTCCTAATTAAAATTGGGCCGCCATTGTTTGCTCTATCGATGGATCAGGTTCAAAGTCCATTCGGCACCATAATGGTTTGAAAGCGGCGAAATTGACCCCATATGATATGACGGCTTATAGTAGGAATTGTGAGATTTTTATTTTTAATTGTGCAAATCAAACAATTTGAATCAGTGTTTCATGGCTGCCTCAAGGCGGTGGTTTTTCAGTTTTTCACTGTTACAAGCCTAAAATTCAATGTAAAGGCTCCAAGCCCAAACTCATATCTGCCAAAAAGCAGCACAATTAATTTAGAGAGAGAGAGAGAGAGAATTCTGAAAGAGTAACGTTACTCAAGACCAAGAGGCAAGAGTGCAGACTTCAAAGGCACCCCTATAGGTTGCTAAAAATAAGAGGGAGAAAAAAAAAATCAAAGAGTAATCATTTTAAATCCAATACTTTTTATTGAGTTCTAATATAATTTTTTTTATGCGAAGTATAATTTGTAACTTTGATCTTTAAAATGCTTTATTCTTTGCATATTTTTTAATTATTTTATGGTTTATTTATTATGAGAGTTACATCTCAAAATGCTTTGAGGCTTAGGCTTCGCCTCACAATGACAAAACGCCTCAATACTGAATTGCGCAATTTAAAACCTTATACTAAACCAATATTTTAATAAATTTCATATTTAAATAAAACACGTAATAATATACAATATGGGCCATGCATATTTCTAAAAAGACATCATAAATTTGTTGAATTTAATATGAGTTCGGATTTATATTATTTACTATTAATTAATACCCTTTTAACTAACATAGTTATTTGACTATAAAAGATATTAATTAAGAATAATTTTTTTTTTATACCCATACACTTTAAGTAATATTTGTCTCCTTCCCCCTTCTAACATTGTCTCGCTTAGCACAGTGGCATTCTTTCACTTTATGGCTTAATAAATGGTGTGAATGCTACATTCTTTAATTATTTTTGCAATTTTTTTCTTTTAATTAATATGTAATTGTGTATTTAAGCATTCTTTTACAGACCTTAAAGTTTTTTTTTTTAATTCATTGAGTTGAAACCTTCGTTAAATGGGATACAATTAGATTATAGTTTTATCGGAGACCATTGTAAATAAAGAGAAAATTAGTGAACTCACTTTTTAAATTCATTGTTCTAAAATTTTTATTTTTTTATTATTGATTAATACTCTTTTAACTAATGTAGTTCTTCAATTAAAATGTATTAATTAAATACAAGGGATAAAAATCTAATGTCCATGCATTCTAAAGAGTATTTGCTTCTTTTACCCTCGTATAAATCCATTTTTAGCGATGGTTCCAGAAAAAACCATCTTTAAATATGTTGTAATGTACTGTATCTAGCGCGCTACGCGTACATTTAGTGACATTTCAAAAACATTAATGTATATCAAAGACACAAGGTGACACCAAATTAGTTTAATGATCTTTTGTTAATAACAATCGTCTTTTCCACCAATATTTGTATTTTTTTTCTAAAAAGGATGATCGGTTCTGGGTATATATTTTCGGACTGTAAGTACCTTTATTTTAAATGCTTTATAAAATTATATCCTATTAGGCATTTCGCTCACCTTTCTTATTTTCAAATGTATTAAACCCTTCCAGGCGACGCGAGGAGTAGTGCGGAGTAGGTAGCTACTACCGGTGACGTGGACTTGATCTCGGGAAGCGAAAAGTTGTATTTCCTCTTATCTTTTATCTCAAGGCATGTATAAGAGATTATGGATTGTAAACTTAAATACTGCTAGACTGTGGTTAATGTCACATTTACTTATGTTTATATTCATGTATGCTAAACACCTGTGGGAATTCCTGACATGATACCAGGGCTGTGGTTTTAAACTGGTTTGGTTGGAAATTCCACCACCATTCTTGAAATTAAATTTCTCTTGAATGCAGGGGCTTGTTTGAAAATACCTGGATGTTTTGGATTTGAAAAAAAAAATTAAAATGTTTGCAACATTACTTGCTAATCACTCTCTTAAACAGGTTTAAGTTTCTAAACAAGCATCCACGTCACTAACCCCGTTTGGGGGCGTGACAAGACTTGGTATCAGAGCTCTTGGTTTAGAACCTTAGGGTTTGGAATTATGCATACATGAATGACATCTAAAAACCACTAAAATAGTCTAGATTTCTTTTCAGATAAAAGAATGCCGCCGCGCCGTAGAAACCCTAACCCGCCGGCAGTGCCAAATGAGCAATTCATGGAAGCCATGTATGCAGCCTTCTAGGGAATGGCAACGAGAGCCCAAAATGAACGTCCTGCGGAGGACAGAAAACAGAGCTACTTCCATGAGTACAGGCGTAGTTCAATTCCTGCATTCACTAGCGCGGGTGGACCCCAGGAAGCTGAGTATTGGTTCGAATCGGTGTCTAAGCATCTAAGTACCATGGGAGTACCGGATGAGTATTGGGTGTAGTTCGCAGCTTTTAAGTTTGAAGGTCCTGCAGGTGCGTGATGGAAGCATATCCGGCGAATGCATGATGTAGAGGGGATGACTTGGGAACAATTCGAAGCGCTCTTTAATGAGCAATTCTTTCCCCAAAGTTATCGAGATGAAAAGGCCATGGAATTCATGGGCCTACAGCAAAGGGATATGACAGTGAGGGACTACAAAGCTAGGTTCAATAGACTGTCCCGTTTTGCTCCTTCCTTGATTGAATCGGAGCACATGAAGTGCCTAAAGTTTGAGAAAGGTCTTAAGGGTGTGATCCGGAAATCAGTGGTAGCTTTAAGGCATCGAGTCTACAGTGACCTGGTTGCAGCAGCCATCTCTATTGAACAAGAGCACATCGCCTTCCTCCAGGATCGAGCAACTTCAGGGAAAACTTCAGGAGGACCTCAAAGGAATAACAGGAAAAGCCGTGATCAAGGGCAAGGTAGTGGGGGAGTGCCTAGTGCTAGCAGTGGCTCTTCGGGAAGTGGGAAGAGTGGACCCTATAGCTTCAAGTGCCACTATTGTGGGGAGCTAGGGAATATCAAAAGGAACTGTCCTCTTAAGGGCCAACAGGTGAACCAACAGACCCAGCAATTACCGCAGAATTAAATGGGTATTGCTCATAGTCAAGACAGACTTCCACACTTCACGCCTTTCTATCAGCCCCAGTTGCCTGCCCAGATGCCAATTCCTCCTGCACCGATCTTCCGTCCGCCGAACTACTCTTATTTTTGGCCACAGGCTTCCGTATCAGTACAGTCTACCCCACCGTAGCAACAGTATAGGCCTGGAAACTAGAGACCTAACAACAATGAGAGAGGAAAAGGGAAAGCACCGGGGCAGATGCATACCTTGGCCGGGGGAAGTTCTGGAGCTCATGCCGGAAACCCAGTCGTCGAGTGTATGGTACCTATCTCACATTCTTTTACACGAGTTTTGTTCGACACTGGTGCTACGCACTCTTTTGTTTCCACTACTTTTGTGAAAATTTTAGGTTTGAAACCCGATGACTTAGAGACTTCAATGTTTATAAGTTCTTCATTGGGATGTGTGGAGGTGACTAGTATATGTAGGTCGGGTGTGATCACGATTGGAAGTGAAAAATTAAAGGCAGATTTGATAATCCTTCCCATGAATCAGTTTGATGTGGTGCTTGGAATGGATTGGTTGTCAAGATATGGGGCGATTGTTGATTGCCACCGTATGAGAGTTACCTTGACTACCGGTTCTGGCACGATAGTAACGTATCAGGGAGGTGTTAACCCGGTTATAGAAGAACGACTATTGAGGCATAGTGTCGAGGGATAGCGGAATTTAGCTTGTTTCTCATTCCTTTCGGCATTAGAGGGTGAATCCGGTATCGCCGGGGAGAATGTTAAGGTCCCCGTGGTCGATGAATATGCGGATGTATTCCCTGATGAGTTGCCTGGTTTACCGCCTGACCGGGAGATCGAGTTTTGCATTGACTTACTTCCAGAAACGGCTCTGATTTCTATTGCTCTGTATCGAATGGTGCATGCGGAGATGAAAGAGCTAAGAAAACAACTTGGAGAGTTAGCAGAAAAGGGATTAATTAGAAACAACACTTCTCCATGGGGTGCACCTGTCTTGTTTGCGAAAAAGCACGACGGATCCCTTCGGTTGTCCATAGACTACCGACAATTGGATAGGGTTACCGTGAAGCACAAGTACCCATTGCCGAGGATCGATGAGTTGTTCGATCAGCTGGGAGGATCACAGTATTACTCAAAAATTGACTTGAGATCTGGGTATCATCAGTTGAAGATTAGGGAAGATATTCCAAAAATAACTTTCAGAACTCGCTATGGGCATTATGAGTTCTTAGTAATGCCTTTTGGATTGACGAATGCTCCCGCCGCTTTTATGGATTTGATGAATCGAGTCTTCCGCCCATATTTAGACCAGTTTGTGATAGTCTTCATTGACGACATCCTGGTTTACTCAAAGACTTGGGAAGAGCATGAGCAACATCTAAGGAACGTTCTCTAGACTCTTCGAGAACACCAGCTTTATGCAAAGAAGGAGAAATGTGATTTCTGGTTGGCAGAAGTCAAGTTCCTTGGACATGTTATATCTGGACAAGGAATTTCAGTGGATCCCTCAAAGATTGAAACGGTGCTACAATGGGAACGACCGAATAACGTAGCTGAAATTTGAAGCTTCCTAGGACTTGCGGGGTATTATCGACGATTTGTAAAGGATTTCTCGAGTATTGCTGCTCCAATGACTCGGTTGACTAAAAAGGAAGGCAGGTTTGAATAAGATGCCGATTGGGAACATGCATTCCAAGAACTGAGGACTAGGCTAACCAGTGCGCCGATTCTGACGATTCCTAATAGTGATGAGTCGTACGAGGTGTATTCCGATGCATCAAGACGAGGACTTGGGTGTGTTCTGATGCAAAATGGACATGTTGTGGCCTATAAATCTCATCAACTGAAGCCACATGAGTAGAACTACCGTACGCATGATCTAGAGTTAGCAGCTATGATTTTTGCTCTCAAGATATGGAGATGCTACCTCTATGGAGTAAAATTCCAGATCTTCTCTGATCATAAGAGTTTGAAATATCTGTTCACTCAAAAGGATTTAAATCTTAGACAAAGAAGGTGGATAGAATACATGAAGGATTATGACTTCACCTTGCAGTATCATCCTAAAAAAGCCAACGTAGTAGCAGACGCTTTCAGCAGAAAGACTCTAGGAATCCTAGCATCTTTGGCATTGGAAGATTGGAAACGGAGTGCAATTGTATGTGACTATGATCTTCAGTATTATGAGGATTCTAACCAAGCTATGGTGTACAACTTGGTTTCAACGCTAATTCTTATGCAGCAAGTCAAGCAGAACTAATGACATGATTAGCATCTTCAAGGAATTTGGACTCGAGTTCAGAATGGAGAAAAACTGGACGAATGGAATATTCGGGAAGATGGAATGCTCTACTTCAGGAATCACCTTGCCATTCCTCAAGTGGATGAGATAAAGAAGACAATCCTTCACGAGGCTCACAAATCAAGATTCACTATTCACCCTGAGAGTACCAAGATGTATCAAGACATCAAAAGGCAGTATTGGTATAAAGGTATAAAGAAGGATGTTCGCCAATACGTGTCAGAATGTACGACTTGTCTTCGAGTCAAGGCTGAACATTGGAAACCTGCTGGAAAACTGCAGCCTCTTCCTGTTCCTGGATGGAAGTGGGAACACATTACGATGGATTTTCTTATGGGATTGCTGAGGACTGAACATCGGCATGATGCCATATGGGGCGTTGTGGATAGGTTAACGAAGTCTGCGCACTTCATTCCCTTTCGTGCGACGTATTCCAGGAAAGTTCTAGCAGAGTTGTATCTAGAGCACGTAATCAGACTTCACGGAGTTCCGTTGTCTATCACATCAGATCGTGACACTCGTTTCAATACTAGATATTGGAGAAGTTTCCAAGAAGCCATGGGAACCGAATTTCAGCACCGCATTTCATCCTCAGATCGACGGACAATCTGATAGAGTTATTCAGATTTTGGAGGACATGCTTCATGCTTTCATTCTAGATTTTGGTGGAAACTGGAAGAAGTATCTTCATTTAGCTGAGTTCGCCTACAACAACAATTTTCAGAGTAGCATTGGGATGACCCCATTCGAAGCGTTGTATGGCAGACCTTGTAGATCACCAGTTTGTTAGCTTGAGTCAGAAGATCGACTGACCCTTGGACCGGATGATATCCAGGAGAATAATGAAAAGATCGTCGTGATCCGGGAACGACTGTTAACGGCTCAGAGTCGTCAGAAGAGTTATGCTGACAGGAGGTGTAGACCCTTAGAGTTCTTAGAGGGCGATTTTGTCTTGTTAAGAGTCTCTCCGCGCAAAGGGGTTACTCACTTTGGTGTGAAGGGGAAACTTACGCCAAGGTACATTGGACCATTTCAGATCACACAACGAGTCGGTGTCATTGCTTACCACCTTGATCTTCCTCCGGAATTGTCTCACGTGCACAATGTGTTCCATGTTTCAATGCTTCGAAAGTGTCAACCTGATCCAGAAGCCATTGTGCAATGGTATGACGTGCTGATCCAATATGACACGACTTACGAGTAAGCGCCCATACAGTTAGTGAAGGTGTTGTGGCAACACCATGGCGTTGAAGAAGCAACGTGGGAATTGGAAACGACGATGCAGGAACGATATCCGTATCTGTTCATATCGTGAGGTAAATTTCAATTTCAGGGATGAAATTTCTTAAGAGGGGTAGAATGTAATGCCCTCTAGAATTAAACATATTTAATTATGCTAAACGGTGGATTATTAGTGTGCCTAATTTAATTTTCACAATTCATCAATGGACTTTAAATTATTTTTAGTATTTATAATTTCACCCCAAAAGTTTTTTAAAAAATACACTTAAATTTTAATGCATTTCCCTTTTTTTTCATTTTTCATTTTCCTTTTCTTTTCTTTTTCCTTTTTCCTTTTTCTTTTTTTTTCCTTTTCTTTTCTTTTCCCCCCTTTCCCTTCCCGTGCGCCCAGCCCACTCTCCTTCTTTTTCTTTTTTTTTTCTCTTCTTCTTCTTCTCTGGTTCTTCCACGCACCAGTGCCCATCTCTCTCTCTCTCTCTCTCTCTCCATTTTCTTCCACCGCTGGCCACCTTCTTCTCCGGGCTTTCTCCCGCCAGCGTTCTCTCTCTCTCTCCGGGTTTCTCTTTCCC